CGATTTTGGTCTAATCATCAAACGTCAGCCAACCATACATAACATTACTTACAATAATAGAAAACTGTTTAAATTTATTATAGTCTTAATAATGATTTCATGCAAGAAAATTAAATATTGTAATATATTATATATTGTCTATTATATCGAAGCCACATATTCGAACACTATATAGCACAATAACTAATCATGGTGTCATAAAAAAAGAAAACAACGCATCAAATGTTCAACCTCAATAAATTAAACTTAAGATGTGTTTGGTGGTACTTTTATCGTCCGAATGTATATAGAATTTATCGTGATTGTTTCAAACGTGTTTGTTTCCAAAACTTGACGTTTGCCATCGACAGTTTAAACGAAATATTATCCTATCCACCAAAAATGCGTTGTTAAGGTTTGCATTGTTGCAGGGTGTTACGACTAATTCCAAGCGACGTTTAACAGATGTTTTAGTAATTTTTCTAATTTTTCAATTATTATTTATTTTGCAACAAAAGCAATAATGTATAATAAGGCATTTAAACGTTTTAAACTTTTTTTCCCCCAATATATTATATTTGCTAACCATTTAACCAAAGCATATGTTCAAACACTTGTGCAATACCGTTTCGCTAAGTATAAAACCTAGTAATTTTTTATCAGAAGATTGTTCAAACACATATATCGTCGTTTCGTTCTGGATACCGATTATTCACAACATGGGAAGTTACAAATTATACCTGGCCGTCATAGCAATAGCTTGCATAGCTGCAGTACAGGTAAACACAAAACATCTATATTATACAGGGTGATTCTGGATTCGCCAAGCACGCCCGTCATCAATTTTTCTTTTGATAATAAATCSTAAAGTGTATTCTGATACTAGAAATTTTATATTTAATGACCCTAATCTTCGGTTATTTTGATTTTTTTATACCATTTATAAAAAAAAGGAGTGTCTTGTGACACCAACTTTTTTTAATTCAATGAGTATCGACCTTTTCCTTGTAAGTTGTTATGAGCAGATAACTTTTAAAAAATGTTGATGAATCCAAACTGAAATTTGAACAAGCTGCAGTTASTGAGTTATTTATTGACTTTGTGAGTACTGTTATGATAATAATTAATAGATAAAATTGAATTAGGGTTGAGTCTAATATTATATACTATAYATACAWATAATACAATACATATATGATGTATATATAGTAGGTATATAAACTAATAATTTTAAAGATTACATTTATTGTATAGTTTTCTGAAATTTTTRGTGACTATTATCTTAATTTCTTAGTCAGCAATAGGTATATTGCTTGGTATAATAGGTATGTATATTTTTATAATTCATATATAGATACCTACTACTTGTTAAAATGTTGTTTTAGATAGGTAGGTACATCAAAATTTTCAAAAAAATCATTCTCTGGATGGTTTACAGTAAAAAGATTGGTTCTCGTTTGAAAAACAATAGTTTGTGTCATCACATGCGTTCCTTAAATTTTGTAAAAAATCTAAGAATTAGATTATTATGTGCATTGATATATAACGACATATAAAAATCRGAATTTGGAATAATTACTAAAGGAAAAATGGCGGTGAGCTACATGCTCGGCGAATCTCCCTGTACTCTGTAGGTACGTACCTATCATAAAATATAAACATCATAGACGATAATCGTTTGCTGGAATGAGTATTGATCGCGATTGTTCTACATAAAAAYGATCGCCGGTCATCAGATACCGCTCGTACATGTTTTGACGATGTTGCATGTGCAAAAATTGTTATCGATATAACTAACAGATTAAAAAAAAAAAAAACATTCGATTAGGATCTAATACATTACTTGAAATGGGTAATGAATCAAACTAACTACATAGATGAAACGTGTGTATCCGGAATGCGACGTTTCAATTTACATTACGCCAATATTATACGTATTATATTATTTATATATATATTTTTTTTGTTCTATATTGAACACGTCTTTTTATTTGCATCTAAAATGGGTTAATTTTATAACTGCGCGTAACCGCTTTTTTTTTTGTTAGTACCAATCGTTGTACAACGGTTCCGATGAATATTCTTCGATACATTTGCTTAAACAAACCAATACGGATTTACGAGCATAATAAAATACGCATAAAAACGACGATCCGATATAAAGTCTCGCCTACTTCTGTACAGTAAATATGTATATATTTTATACACAAAGACTACAGGGAAAATGTGTACCTAATGTTTTTTTTATTCAAATAAAATTTCCAATTTTGCTACAATTATAATATAGTTGAAACAAATATAGAGAGGCTATTATGAAGAACATACCCCTTACCCTATAAAAAAAACTCTGCCAAATAAAGTCCTCGTAAACACCAAGTACTGATATTAATACTTAGATGTCTATTTTTTTCTATAAATTTGGAAAAAGACCCAATACAAATTATTAAAAAAAAAAATTGCAAGCGTAGTTTTACAGTGGTGCAGAATAATTAGTGGTGCAGAATAAGTGATATATTCACGGACAATACTCAATATTCAAAAATCATTATATAATAGGCTTGAAATAACTGCATGTGGCCAAAATTTGTCTACTTCAGAAAAATGAGACTTGAGACATACCAGCTACTGAGAGATACCTATGAYTTCAATAGTAGGTATATTTCAGTCTTTTCAATAATTTACTGCTCGATACGATTATATACCCATCAATTTATATCAGAACGTATTTTTAGTACTAAGAGACGGTCATAGGCACAATTAGGGAGGCTTAGAGGGGGATTAGACCCAAGTTTTTGTAGTTCTCCAGTTTTTTAATCTTATTAATAAAGGGTTTTGCAATATAGAAATAATTAAAAATATATATAATATGTATAAAAAATTATTCTTATTTCTTAAGTTATACAATAAATTATGTTAGTACGACCAATACCAATATGTCGATAACTATATAGTAGTTGGATGGTATGATGTCTCAATTTAGACTAATTGCACCTATGGATTTTTAATTATTTGAATCAAAGTTTTAGTGGTAGTGGGGGATGAAAGATATATCGTTTTTACCGACAAAATATTTACTTATAAATTATAATTATCTATATAATATGGGATGTCAGAGAGTTATTCTATATARTATAGGTGTGTTTCATATATTATGAAWAATATGTTGTGTATGCATAGGAAGCTAGTTGCTCTGATGAGCAGGTACAGTACGATGATGRGGAAGAAGTGATCGGATTAGAGAAAGAGCAGGAAGAAGTGTCCGAACCAGATATGGAGGAAAAAGAAGAGCCAGAATCAGAGATGGAGTACCATCAGTGCGAGGAATACAAATCGAAGATTTGGGACAATGCATTTAGTAATAAGGATGCTATGGACATGATGAAACTGACGTTTATAACAGCTGAGAAAATGGGCTCCGACGCCGTGTGCACTGACACAGCCCGGGCCTTCATAAACTTCATCGAAGTGATGGCCACCAACAGTAACTCCCAATACACGAGAAGTATGTTCAAAAAGTTGGTGGCGTTTATTGTTAGAGAGTTGAACACGACGTCGGACAATTTCAGAGAGACGTCGGAGGTGTTCGAACGTATCTGGACAACTCCAGAGATTCGTGACTTTATCAGGGACTCAGTCACTCGGACCAATAACGTGCTCAAGGAGCCCCGTATGAGAAGCCGACTGTTCAAAGTGATTGAAGCAGCTATGGATCTGATGTCGAAATCCAAAGACGGAGAATCAATGAAACAGAAGTTTAAGGGGATGTACAGAGCTCCCACCAAGATGGCAAGGAGTGCCATGGATAAGGTTGGAAATTTCTTTCGAAAACTTTAATAAGAATGTCCATACAGACTAGTGATATATATATATATATATATATATATAGCATATACATATAGATAAACATAAAGTGCAGATTTTCTAAAAAAAAATGTTAACCTAAAATCTCACTTCCCCGCCTCTCTGAGAGTCGTCTTCAGTGTTTTGTACAGTATCATTACACATTCGGTATATCTAACATACCACACACCGCGTTGTTCTTGCAATAAATATTGTTATTGTTATTATTTTATTTTGTTCTAAATAAACTCAATTGATTAACGAATAATATATTATTTATTTGTTCTAAAACAATATTCCTTKTTTTATTTAACGGCGTGTAGTTATCTACCTAATTGCGTGTATACGAGGATAGCACCTTTATGTTGTGCAACAAACAGACGTTTAATTATACATAATATTTAAACAAAATAACGCACTCTTATATAATTCATAAGAAAATTTGACCGAGGAGACAAAAAGAAAACTATTAAAGTATTAAATGATTAAATAACAAATAAAATTGGTACTATGTAATCTGTATAGATATCGTATATTGGTATACCTATATAATAATTATATTATATTCTATTGAAACATCGGGTGCGCCTATCCAAAATAAGAGTAGCGTTTGAACCCGCGAGTTTGTTTATAAATTATAACCAAAAATGCTTCTTTTTATTTAGTCTTTATGCATAATAGTATATTATTATAGTTTACCTTTACTTATAGATTTCTAATTAATGTGTTTTATGTGCTAGTCAAAAAGCTAGTAAATGYATATGTTATAAAAACCATTTAATAACTTATAGAGTATAGGCATGGGCGTCCATAGGTAAAATTTTAAGGAAGGTCAAAATAAAAAATTCTCAAATTTAAGAAAGTAAAGATTTAATGTTATTTTCACATATGAATGTAAATATGCATGTTATATTTGTATTGTCGTATATATATATATATAAGTACAGTTAATTCATATTATTTTTTATCCAGGGGGAAAGAACCCTATATTCCCCCCCTCCCCAATGGGCGCCCATAAGTATAGGTATATTATTATTAAAATAATATTTTATTGAATTATTAAGTGGTACACACTAAATTAATAATTGTTAAAAACTTAGAAATTAAAAATATTATCTAGGCCCTAGGGTATCTCATAAAGGCTTTCATTGATATTCAAATTTTAAAGCGAGCTATACTACTTATAAATAATTATAATATTTTATAAATAGTTATAATTTATATTTTATAAGTTATAAGTTTATAACTCAATTTAAAATTAAATTTAAATACCATCAATACGRTCATTTGAGGTAAGGTGTCCTATTTATCCTCCTAAGGTGTATTATTTTTAATTGTAAATTTGATGATTGGTAAATTCAGTCTAATCATATTATAAAGTTTARCTGCTATCGGCAGCTTTGTTTAAACGGTCAATAACTATTATAAAAGGAGGAGATTGAACCCATGAAACGGTAGAACGTCGGTAAATTTATTTCACCCCTATTTTACAAGTTATTATCCTCGGATATTTTTTTTTCACGTATAACTTATCATAGGTTTACCATAATATTATAATATCAGGTTACAAATGAGTAATGACCGTGGGGAAGACAATTAAACCAAGTGGAAAACGATGGGTGCATGGATATTATATGCTATACGCATGTGTATTCAAGTTGTACAAGTATACAACAACAACAATATGATATTTATTATTATTTATCTTATCCACTAATTAAATTTTATTTGTTCTGTTCAATTTAATATTTAAAATGTCTTTATGCGCTTTTTAGTTGGCCTGGTTAGTGATTGGGCTAGTACATAATATTCAGCCCGTTCGTTTATTGATTCCATACAACAAATTGATTTATGTCAAGTAAAATTCAATTATTCTGTAACGCAATTCAATAAAAACTAGAATATATACCTAAAGGTTTATAATAAAACTAAATCCATTAAAATCAAGGTTAAACTATTTTCAAACAATATAACATGGTTGATTAAAATGTATATCACATACATGACACGTCCCATTATTCTGTAATAAATATTGTTTTATGATAAAATTCAGATATCTAATTTACAATAAAATAGTAACTAAAATGTAGAATACAAAATAATATTATAAAGTGGTGATGGTTAAAAATATTTCGCAACTAAAAWTTATAGGTGTAATCTGTATATAGATAATAATTATGTATAGGGTTGAATTTGAAGGGAACATTATCGCATTAGGGCCAATATTTAAGAGTCCATTAGGCTAAAAATGTAAAAATTGTAGTATAGGTTTTATTTTAGATTAAGAAAAAAAAATATATAGGTTTTAAAAATAAAAATATTATTTTAGGAAATTTTTATATTATATGTCGAATAAAAATTATAAAAATATATACACTGAGAACTACAATAGTACATATTAGATCATTATTTTTTTTTTAGAAATTATGAAGATTGTAAGTGATATTGTATATTTTGTAATTTGATGATATAATAGATGAATTTRTGAAGAAAAAGTCCAAAATGTTACTCAACTTTTGAATGTTGAAAAAATATACATTTACAATATTTTATTTTTAATCCAACACTTTTTAGCCACTATTTTATGCACCTATAACTAAGTACATTGTACATTTGTAGATGATATGCATTACTATATTATGAAATAGTGATAAAATAATGTAGATAACATAATTTATAATTAAAATTAAAAATATATTTAYACARGCTATAAAATATGCAATTTTTTTATACCAGAAGCTCCTGGATAATTTTCTTTGCCCCTGGCCCCTTAAAGTTTAAATTTAGCCTGGCTTATATAGAAATAAATATAATATTATTTACWTTTTACTTACTTGTACAGTTATACCTATAGATATACTGTTGGACATATTAAAAAAAAACAATATTAAAAATCTTAACTTACAATAGTAAAAATTATTACCTTATTAATATTGTATTACCAAATACCACATAATAGGCTGTTATATTATGTATACAATGATGGTTAATGACGCTGAGTAAGAAAAAAATTATATTATAATCACGAGCTGAGTACAAAAGACAACTAACTTCAATCARACCATCATTGCTTACAAATTGAAAAAATATCTATTTGACCCCATAAGAATTGATACAGTTCAAACTGCGATAAGGTTAATGTAGGTTGTATGTATCACAATTAAATATTTAGAGATCTATACAGGGTGATCTATTTCACTAAACAACATTCATTATTTTAAAAACTATTGACTTTTCAATTTTTTTTGTTCGAAATTTTAGATTCACGAATCACGATGTTCTAGAACTATATAACTTTTTAATATCTTTCACCCTTATATTTATAATTAGGTAACCCACTATCAACAAAATGACAACCTATACTTAAAATTTCATAAGCTAATATTATTAGCCTAATAAGGCTATTTTTTTTTTATGAATTTTGTCGTACACGAGAAAATCACGAGAAATAGTGGTAATATGTGATAGACTAGGTAAACTAGGTGTAATAAATATATTATGTACTAAGTAAAATATGGGTGGGTGGGTGATTAACTCTTGAAGCTTGCTCCTGCAGGAGTTTTGCAGACTCAAGCCGATTCTGGCATGTGATACACTCCTATACATGGAACTAGTCTTTGACAAAACTCTACTAGAACTATTTTATTTACATTATACTCTTATATAGTTATATTTATATGTACCTACCAATATAAAATCTATTTTTTATTGTGTATTTTTATACTGTATTATTTTTGTGGTTTTGACGAATCTAGTCAAAACTTTAATTAAAACAAATATATATAAAAAAAAATCATGCTCGTATATTATATATTTGAATATTTCTTATTAATCTAAAAACTCTTTGTATGGGATCTTGTATTATTTTTTTAAGCATTTTAGCCTACTGTAAAAAAAAATCATCACTCAAGTTTCAAGTACCCAACGCTTAAAATTATGAATCACTATATAACTAGAAGGTATGACAGATTACATAAATACAGTGACCCGACCATGATGTATATATATATTAAACGATAGAGCTAATGCCTAATACAACGCTGAATAATTACGTTGATATCTAACTGACGTTCCGCGATTAAGRTTTTTTTTTTGAAATTAATATTTTAGGATGTTTTATTTAAAGTACTTTAAGAAATAAACAAAAACAAAATAATGATATATATTTTTATATCCATAGAATGTAATGTGTGCTTATTATTGTTAAATTTACATATATAATGTATCATAGTAAATTATATATATACATAGAGAGAGAGAGAGAGACAAGGCTCGTCAAGGTGATCTGTTGATCTTGGGGCTTGGAGTACAYGAAGTCGRCTATTTCAGCGACCTGTTGAAATGAACTTTTAATCTTTTAAATGTTAGACATTTTGATAGAAATTCTTATTTTAAATTAAATAGGTAATATTTTTTTGGGCCAGCAAAAATATGTAGAACACCGGCCCAAAATTTGATGTGAGGGGCCATGCTATGAAAGTGGTTATTTATTATCTATATTCAATTTTCTACAATAAATTACGCTTAAAGTTGAAGATATAAATAATTTTTAATGCTTTTAAAATTGACAACGGTTAAAAATAGTAATAAATACTTATTATTGTATAACCAAAATAATTTAAAATCATTAAATAGGTATGCATTTTTAAATGTTTTATAGTATTGGTATAAATATATTAATCTGTTTTTAAATTACGAGTATAATTATTACGAATCTCTTTAAATAAATAGTCTTAATGATATAGTTTGAAAATTATATCAGTCAAATTTACTTGCTATTTACCTATTTCATTACATTTGTGTTTCATATTTCATCAAAACGAAACGTATAGATATTTTCTATGTAGCTTATGTAATATGTATACATAAATATGTTGTGTATAAATCTTAGCCCTAAATTAATAATTGCCGTTGACTGTTATATCGTATGGTTACTTGTAAGATATTTGTTACATCATTTATATAATTTACATATATACAATATACTGTATATATGTACACACACGTACCCACACACTCGCACAGCACACACACGTCATCTCCAAGTCACCTAGACAACAGACGCGTTTGATTAATGAACTAACAACCCCTACACATGTTGAAAGGGTTGAATCCAACGACGTCTGGTCTTTTTTCCTATTCAATAAAATGATAATCGTCGAAAATTCTAAGGTAGCTGCTGACATTTTATTGTGATGTGTCGACAAGATTATTTCGTACTAATAATAATAATAATATATTCGTGTGCTAACACACAAGGATAATATTATAATATAAAAATATACGGACCGATTGCTACGTCTTTTTCTTCTTCTTATAACACAAAAAGGCAATAACCAGTAAGTATTATCATAAGCTATAAGCACGATGCACATATACGGTGTTCGATTATTACAAAGRATATTCGTCAGATTGATTATCAGCTGTTCCAATCTCATGTTTTATTAATGTGAAAATAGTTAATTAATTTCAGAGACACTGGAAAATGAATAATAAACAATGACTAGGTACTTAAAAAAGAAATAATCAAGACTCGAAGTATCTAAATATACAATATAATATATATATCAATTATAATTAGGGTTCGGGACTTGTTGAATTTGAATATTCTTTAATAATGACTGCAGAATAATCTAAGTAAGATATAAATTTGTTTTAAGACGTAACGGATTGAAATACAAAAATTGTGTTCGCATATTTGACAAATTTTCGCAATTTAATTGTTATTTATAGAATATTTGTACAGTTTTCATTTCATGTTAGGTAAATTTGTTTTAAAGGTTAACATTATTAATTTACTTTCATGCGTCGGTCAATTACCTATCGGACATATACACAGTAATAGTAAATAAATAAATAAATTTTTATCAATTAACTAATAAATAATAATATAATGTTTATTGTTGTAAAAAAAAAAAATTATAATTAAAAAAAATATTGTTCTAATTTAAATAAATAAAGATTTTAATGGCTATTAAAAAAATATCGAGTTGCATATTTTCACGCGTATTTCGGTTATTTTAAGTGCATATTTGCATGAATATTTCCTATAACTTGAGTGCAATAAGTTCCAAACCCTAATTATTATATTATATAACAACGTACTGTTATTCATAATAATTATTATAACTGATGTATAAAAAAAATATCTCGGTACCTTTGAACTGTTAGACATATGGCAGATATCTTATATTATATTCATTATTAATCAGTAATAAAATATATAACTAAAATATAGTTTACCCCTTTCTGATCCCCCAAAAAATCAGAAAGTCTATATAATTTAAATTTWAAATATGTCAAAGGTTAAAAATGTTGCAGTATTAAGAAAAGAATCAATCTCCTTTCTATATCATACGCTGCAGTAATATAATTCATTTAATGATTATAATAATATTCATTTCTTAACCTTTTAATTCTTATTCTATATGCAAAAAAAAGGAACATCTTTATTTCTGACAACAATTATTATAACACATATATTTCAGGAATTAAGTACATAAATGTACAAATGGATAAATATTACGAAACGTAAAATGTTAGAATTTGCGGAGTCTGATCTCGGCAGTATTCATCGCGTTCTATATGTTGTGTTGTCCACATACCTATATATAGGTGGTTGATTCAATAGTKCCTTAGTGCTATTATATATTATGTTTTGTTATTGAAATTACTTATAAGATTTATGTATAATTTTATAAAAATATGTTTTGATTTTCGCATTTCTAGTTATCTATAATATTACATGTGTAAAAAAATAAATAAACCAYATGTCAGTAACTTTGAAATTTTGGAATTGTCATCAACTAATATAATAATAATTAGTAACCATTACATTAATAATTATCCATTATAATAATATAGACATTGCAAATTACAAGATACTATTTGCGTGTAAAATATAGTAATAAACACTGCCGATTTCTGCACACCAAACTCTTCCCGAAAAGAAACGATTTAGCGGGGTGGTAACTTGTAAGTGTGTCCGGCGTGTGCGGCAATGCACGGAATAGATATTGTGTACCGGTGGTGGGCCACACGACCTTGGCGCGAAGTTAAAGGAAGTCGTTATGCTGGTGGAAGAAAAAAAAATAAAGAAGAATGCGCTAGTGTACAAATGTCTGTTCAACTTGTATCTTGGGATAAATACGATATATAACAACGGTGCGCCTACAGAGTCGTCTTGTACAGTTCGTCTTGTTCTCCGTGCAGTTTACGTACTACCGACGACGGCACTCGCGAAGAATGGTGCCTATRCCTACCTAACTATACCTACCCATATGTTCACATATCCAATGGATTTCCGTGCGGTCTCAAAGAATACAAACTGTAGCCAACGATTGTTTATGCGTTGAACGCATAACGAGCGTGAAAAAAGGAACCTGCGCGTAGACGCTTCACGRGTGAGWATAATAATATACTATTTTTATAATTTATATACTATTATAAGTACCTATAAATACAACATATAGCCAGTATAATCATGTACAACAGGTGTCCGCGGTTTACTATGTATTATTATAATTTACAGCGAACGAACATAACGTCTCGTCATTGTGCTTCTGTTTTCTTTCTCTTCGGGACGATATTTATTATTATCGTATACGTTAAGATTTTTTTTTTTCATCGAAAAAAATCATTTCGAAATATGTCTATTTTTTTGCTGAAAACTTGACTTTTAAACGTATAGGTACTTACTAGCATCGCCCAGTGTAAATAGTCCGCGCATTTAGGACATTCTAGCTRCACGTGCATACGTCGTGCGAATACATTTCACTACGTAACCGAAAAATATATATACAACACTACAATAATAGGTAGGCATAACAATACGTAACAAAAGTATACGGAAAGACGTCTTCGATGACGTCTGCGCTGCACGAGATTGGCAAGCCGCGTCGTCGATTATCAGCCGCCCGTCTGGGCATTTAATTTATTATTATAATTAGGTACGATTTGTATTACGTCCGGCCAGCGCCCAGATCACAAGTCGTTCACGACGTACGTTATGATATTATTTTTATTATGTATACGTCGGACAGCAATAATAATTATTAGGGTTTCAAGGTCTTATACGCACTTATCTYGTACGAGCCGTTCAATCCGTTTCTGTGCTGTACTTATTATATACACCACCACGCCGGTGGGCAGTGGTATAAAGGTACACCTCTGGACCTCTGTAAGTATACGACCAATACAATAGCATAAAAA